CCCCCCCCCTGAGATGTGCTGGTGTCCAGATGACTGGTGTCACTGGCAGGTCCAGAATCAGGGCCAGCCTGGGGGCCCTGCCTGGGGATCCTGGAGAAACTGGTCACCGTCTCCATCTTCCTGGTGCTTCCTGTCATCTTGGAAGCCCTTGGAAATGACAGCTGGTACTCTTGATAGAACCAGTAACAAGAGCTGCTACAGAGAGACAGAAGCCCATAGTGAAAAATGGGAACTTAGTGCCAGGAACCAGCACCAGAGCCCTGCAGCCACCCAGCACCAGCCCTCAGGGCCAGGATTCCCCAGGGGCCATACCCAACCACTCCCTATATGGCTGAGTAAGCTACTGCCAAGGGTTATCCCAGCTGTTGGTGTCCTGCACCCTTATTCTGGCATGCCACCTCCTGCTGGTGTCACAGTGATGGGCTCAGGTTTTCCTTCATCTGTTCCAAGGAGGAATGTAGAGCTGGGGGACACAAAACCAATAACCTGCCCCCAAAATGTCCCATGTTGGGAGAAGGAGATCAGACTTACAGAATGAAGAGAAAATTGATGACTAGTAATGCTGGCAAGATGATAAGAAGCAGGACTGGGATCCTGTGCACGACGGAGACAGCTGAGGGGAGAGAAACAGGTGGGACTGACTCAAAGGGAGAATTCCCACTGCTAAAGGCCCTGGAGATAATCCTCATGCTAATTCTCCCCAGCCCCAGAGGGACTGGGGCAGTGGACTTCTAGCAGTGAGGTTGTCAGAGTTCAAGGCAAGTTGGGGACACCAAGGTGGAGAGAGCAATCAGGTTGTTCAGCATTAGCCTAGTGTGAGGAGCAGCGAGGCAGCTGTAATCTCTTTGGGGATGGTGATGGAAGAGACAAGAGCTACCTGCCTCCAAAACTGACCTCCAAGGGCTGTAGAAGTTGCTGTGGCCAACATATTTGGGGCAGCTGCTCTGGGGTCCCACTGTAATGCCTTGCCCTCAGTTCAGGGCCCCCCAGTCCCCTCCCTGCCCTACTTCAATAGCAGATGATCTGTGTACCCTGCTTGGTCCTTTCCTTCTTGACGCAGTCCATCATGGAGCTGGCCCCCATCACCCTAGTGATCATGCCGTCCTTGCAGGGAGTGCAAAGTGCCATCCCGTAGGTTGGGCTGTAGGTCCCAACAGGGCACGGGGAGCAGTGGCTGTTTCTAGGAGGGCTGAACATTCCTGGTGGGCATACAACTGAGGAGAGGACATGTAGAAAGGCATGGCAATGAGCAATGGTTGTATTCAGCAAAGAGTCAGGGAAACTGAGCCCTGATGATTAAGGGCTCAGAATTACCCTGTCCACCGCATTCCCTGGGCTGGGTGTGTGTGGGACCTGGGAACACGGAGCTGTGCACGGGGAGGGAAGGAGACAAGCAGGGGGAAAGAAGAGAGGGGACCAAAGGGCTGTGGACTCTTGGCTCACTGCAACAGTCGAGACATCTTTGCAGCTGCTTGGTCTGCCCATAGCCCCCGCTGCACTGCTCAGTCTTTAAGAAGCCGACAAATTCATTGGTGAAGTTGATGCTGGGGCTATCAGCCCCAGTGATGTGAAAGGACTTGTGCTCCTTGAAGAACCTGGTAAGGGCGAGCTGGACCTGGGGAGGGCAGAGCAGGCAGAGCTCAGCAGGGCAATGCTGGGGTCCAAGAGGGAAGCTGAGGCCTTGTTGCACAGAAAATGTCCTCCCAGCGCCATGGTGTAGGAGCTGTGGTGTGTGAGCCAAGGGGGACATGCACTGCACACCAGCCTGGGTGGGAGCTCTAACTGGGCCCCAGGGAGACAGAGAAAACCCTCAGGTGTGCTCCTCTTCATTCCCACACTGCTGAAGATACCTGGGCTGGGAAAGTGTCCCGGTTCCACCCCCCTGCCCCATGCCATGTTCTCTCTTTTGCCGATACGCTGGCCCCAGGGCTTACCTGCCCGAGGTTGTGCCGGACTGTTTTGCGGTAGCAGTCTGTGACCATGTCCTGTGATTTGCAGTGTTCATCCCAGTTGGGGCCAAAGAGAGACACTAGAGTATGGAGAGTCATCTATGCAGCTGAGGCTCCAGCAGGAGATGGGCAAAGCCCTGACCAAATCTAGCCATTAGACACCAGTGTCTTCCAAGAGCCCCGAATTTCACTACATCCCCTTCAGCCCTGTGCTGCATCCCTCTTCCCCCTGCAGGCACAAACTGCGATGCCTGAGCTCCTCTCACTCTACCCCACTGCCTCCGTTGTCCCCTGGGGGCTCTGCTGTGGTGCCCCTGCCTGGGGCTCTACCTTCTAGCTGTACTTGGATGATGAACTCATCCGAAGGGCTGTTGAGCGAGGGGAAGCAGAAGGTGGCAGTAAGCTGGAATTTGCAGTGCTGCTTGATCTCGAGCTGCCTCAGCTTATCCTGTAGACCCCACAGGAATCTTTTGGTCCACTCATCCTCACAGAGCTTGCTGTGGAAGAGCAGCACAATGTCCAGGCCTCCGGGCACATGGTAGCCTGTGGGAGAAAACCCTGAAAGATGCCTGGTTCTTCCCCCTTGCCAAGAGAGAGCTCCGTCATCCAGAGAGCTGAGTATGGTCCCAATCCTCCTCTCCACCCTTCCTGCCCTTGTTGGGTTGGCCCCCCCACTTGGTTAGCATGGTGCTGGACTCACCAAAAATGTTGTAGTAAAACGTTTGGGACACAGGGATCCCGTGCTTTGTGTAGAAGATGGTGCAGGAGTACTTCCCACTGTCGCCTGCTTGGAAGTGTTGGAAGAGGAGATGTCCCTCTTTGGTGACCGAGAACAACACAGGGGCTAGTGCAGGACACAGAGGCATTGATGGTGATCACCAGGAGCTGGCTGTCCTGTGCTGAACTGGCCCAGTTCCTGGGTGGCTGTGTTGTGCTCCCATGGACTGGCCCAGGTTTGGTCTCCTTAAACCACTGCTGAGATTCTGCAAAGACTCCCAAAGCTGGTCTTCCCCTTCCTCCTCTTATAAGTTGTTAAGGGAGAGGGAAGAAGAAATTAAGAAACCCAGTGCTCTCTCCTCTGCCAGAAATGTTGCTATCTGCAAAAGAACTATCCGAATGCCTGAAAACTTTAACAAAACCTCTCAGACCTTATTAGGACAGAAAAAGGGTTAAGCATTATCCCAACCGAATTACCCCATAACCTCATGTCCTTGCAGTTGAGCATCCCCCAACACGCGCAATCTCGTGAGATCCCAGTCTTCGTGTGCCCCTCACCTACTCCACAGACCTGCTCCTGCCTCGGGTGGCTCTTTCCCCTCCTACCCTGCTCTTGCCTCAGGGTAGCAGAGCCCATCACAGCTGCTTGCTCCTGACCGTGCAGCTGAGAGGAGCCAGGACCTTACCTGCCCCATGCTGCACCCAGCGGTAGGTGGGATCAGCCACCTCCATCCCAATGGGGCTGCAGGGTAGTGAATACAGGCTGCTCTCCATGTGGATGAAGACAAGGCCTAGGCCAGAGAAAGAGAGACAAAAGCTGGGGACACGTTTGAGGAATTTCAGAGCATTGCAAAAAAACAGGCCTGGAGCTGAGGAGAGAGGAGGGTTGGGAAGCCACTGGAGGAGGCTGGGAACCTTTGTGGCATGTGGATGGACCCAGCCCCCCTGGGGAACCATCCTGCAGGGAGACCTGAGGTTGTTTATGTGCTTAGAGGAGAGAAAATGCCAGGAGCTGTAGGAATAAGTGGCAAGAAGTGAGGCTGCGGTGAGTGGAGATGGTGGCCATCTCTTTTTGTGTTGGCTGTGACTGGGAAGCCACATCCTCTGCCTGGGTCATTGGCAGACTGGGCAGCGAGGAGAGGGTCCTCTCTCCAACACCTGGACACAGGCTGGATGGGGAGACTACTTCACCCAGGAGAGAGGAGCAGATGGGCCAGGGATGTCCAGCAGGAGAGCTTTGCAGATCTCACCCCCTTGGTGTTCCCAGCTGGGCATGGCGGGAAGGTCCCAAGGCAGGGACGCTGGCTGTCCTAGGAGGAAAGCAGAGGGGCTCAGGCTCAGCTTGAAGGGTGCTTACCTTGCTTGGGTCTCCTCTCCAAGGCTCCCATCGGCCCTCCAAGGAGTCAGAGCAGAATATGTCCACCTCCACACTGATCTTTTACCTGAGCAGCTACAAAGCACCAAAGTCAGGATCCCCATGGTCCCCAACACCCTGGGTTCCCCAGGGTCTGGCCAGACGTGTGGAGCACAGAGCATCCTGCCCCGCTGCACAGTGTGGAACATCTTGTTACCATGGCAATGAGGAATCTGCTGCTTCTCCCTGTCACCTTAGTGATGGCTCCCAGGCTGGGCAGCCTCAGGTCTCCTGCCCACCTTGGGCACACTCACCAAGTGTGGGATCTTGTGGGAAACGTGGCCCTTCTTCTGGGGACCATCTGGGCAGGATGTGCTGGAGGAAATACAGCTGGGGACATCCTAGTAGAGGAGACATGGTAGGAAAGATGATCAGAGGGAAGGAGGAGGAGATAGATGATGAGAGTGCTATGCAGGGCTTTTTTTGGTGGAAATCCTAACAGACCAAGAGGCAGGGAAAACCCAGAAAGCCTAGACTGAGGGCGAGTTTGCCCTATAACTCAAGAGGGAGACTCCAGGGTCTCCAGCTGTGGAGGATGCCTAGAACTGGCTGTGGAGGATATCTGAAAAAATAAGAACATGTAGAAGAAAATAGGAAACTGTGGTTTTGAGGGGTAATTACATGCACTGAAAGCCTGAGAGAGAAATAGCAGAAATTGATGAGCGAAGGAGAGCAAGATGTGGCCACGTACCAGGGGGGACTTTCTTTCTGCCAGCTTGGGTGCATCCTAAGTGAGAGCTCAGCCCCCAGCTTCCAGCAGGAAGGTTGGCTTCAAGCCTGGGACGCTTCAGGCAATCTCTTGGTTCAGATCGGAATCTCTTAAAAAGGGTGTGTTTTCTTAATGTTCCTGTTTGTCCTGGAAATGAGATTCAGGTTCCTATGATTGTCCATTGGGAACTGAAAGTGAGCAGTTAAAATATATGGACAGGCAGAAACTTGGGAAGAGTAAAGCTAAAAACTCCTTCTCATTTGTACCAGGGTTTCTGGAGGCGAGGCGTAGGGGGAGGGAGAAGTGCTTTTAGGGTAAATATGTTCAAATCATCCTACTGGCTTGTGAAAAAAATGTATACATGAGAAAAGAGCACAAGTTTTAAAAAAAAAAAAAAAGAGAAATCAGAAAACACCCACCGCTTCATTTAAGATACAACAGAAATACAGAGCACACAACAACTCGGAGACAGTCAAAAGTACCAGCAGTTATGCTTGGGGAAAATCATGACAAGCGAAGGCGGCCCTCCCTCCCTGTCCTCCCAGAATGACAAAATCATGAGAAAATCAGTGAAAAACCTTACACCATGGCCGGGAGGGGTGGGGGCCAGATCCAGTGAGGGCAGCCTCACCCCTCCGTCCTGGCAAGAGCCAAAGGAAAGGGCAGGGCTGAGCAAACATCTCTGGAGGCTGCTTGTTTCCAGGCTGTGCCGATGGAGAAAGCTTCGCCCTGGTGAATAATGGAATGAATGAATCCTTAGTGTTTCTTTAAAAAGAAAAAAAAATGAAAAAAATCCCCTTACACCCCAGCTCTCAAGTTTCTCTGACAGTTTTAGCATAAATAAACCAAGTCTGGCTTGAAATCGCTTGGGATAAAAACACTGGGATTAAAGCACAGACTTGTGCGAGCAGCAGAACGAATGATGGTTTCCTTTCGATTTATGGCATGGGGCTGCACGTCGCCTCCTGCCCGGTGCAGGCTGAGCCATGGCACAGCTGTGGCTTTTCTCCCCCATCACCTCTTTTTACTAAAAGTGTTGGGGCTGGATGGTGTCTTTGAGCTCACCGCTCTGTCGAATTTGAGTGAAACTCGTGTTCAAATGTTATTATGAAGAGGGCAGCCAGCCAGGCCAGACTCTGAATGAGTCCATGGATCTCATTTCCTGAGGGAATCACAGAATCACAGAATCGTAAGGGTTGGAAGGGACCTCAGGAGATCATCTAGTCCAACCCCCCTGCTAAAGCAGGCTCACCTAGAGCATGCTACACAGGACTTCATCCAGGCGGGCTTTGAATATCTCCAGAGAAGGAGACTCCACAACCTCCCTGGGCAGCCTGTTCCAGTGCTCTGCCACCCTCAGAGGGAAGAAGTTCTTCCTCATATTCAACTGAAACCTCTCGTGTTTCAGTTTGCATCCATTGCCCCTAGTCCTGTCGCTGGACACCACTGCAAACAGACTGCTTCCATCCTCTTGACTTCCGCCCTTAAGATATTTGTATGCGTTGATGAGATCCCCTCTCAGTCTTCTCTTCTTCAGGCTGAACAAGCCCAACTCTCTCAGCCTTTCCTCGTAGGGGAGATGCTCCAGTCCCTTTATCATTCTAGTAGCTCTCCTCTGGACTCTTTCTAGGAGTTCCTCGTCTTTCTTGAACTGGGGAGCCCAGAACTGGACACAGTACTCCAGGTGGGGTCTCACCAGGCTAAAAGTATCTGTGATCTGAGGCAGGTGTGACATTTCCGAAATCTCCTGGTTTTTGCATTCATTTTGACTCATCGGCTCATTAAGGTATTTATTTGTGAGTCCTCAGAAAATGTGTTCAGCAGTCGCTGAACATGTGCGGTGGCGTCAGGAGGAGGGATACCCTTCTTACATAGCAAGGAGCTCAGAACCCTGCTTGAAATGCAACATTCAGGCTCATGTATGAAGCTGAACTTGGGTCATCCATAGGAAAATGCCAAGAATACAGATTCACTTTCTTACCATCTTTTAGCATTTGTTATTCATTTGCTTATCTTGGAGAGAGCACAACCACAGCTTCAGTAAGTACATAGAAAGATCATTCCCTGTGTTGTGCTCACTAGGGATTAACCTCCCTCCCTCCCTCCCTCCCTCCCCCCAGAGGGTGATGTGAGTTGCACTCAGATGCAAACTCCATTTATAAATAAGAACTGATACAGGAGCGTCTCAGTAGTTTCTGCATCCCTATGTGGCTGGAAGGGAGGAGCACTGGGTTTGTGGGTGTTTTGCATCAAGGAGGTTTCCCTTTCTCTTGGCTTAGATGAAGGGCAGCAATGCCCGGGGATGGAGGAGCATCCTGTTGTGCTGTACAAACACAGAGCCACTTGCTGCCTCTGGCACTGTTCCTGCTGTCCCTCCCTGTCCCCTGCTGGCAGATCTCACAGTCTGTGCCTCCCCACATCGGTCCCCTAAAATTTGCTTTGTTTGACTGGGGAGACTTGGATTGCCAGAGATTAATTTAAACCTGGCTAAAGCTGGGGTACACCTAAGTCCAGATTCACAAGGAGACAGAGGTGCCCAAGTTTGATCTCTGGTGATTAAACTCATCAGACAAAACAGTCACCAGCTTCAGCACTGAATGAGAAGGTGCCCTGGTCCCTTGGGGACTCCCCAGGGGGATCCAGGAAAATACTGCAGGGATACAAGAGGAACAAGTGCCATATGACCATGGCTGGCCCTGAGCCATGCAGTCCTCATCCCTCCATGCTGCTTAGCACAAAGGGAACCTGCCCCTTTCTGCAGCCCGTGAGGGCCCGTGGAAGCCAGAGCTGGATCTCTTGAGATCATGATGCTTCCTAAAGAGATCCTTCGGGCTCCCATTGTTCTGGAGCAACATGTAGACTGGATTCAAGGAGCACCGCCTAGAAATGTCACCAATAGCTGCTAGGTCTCTTGGTTTTGGACCAGGACCGATGATTTGATGACTATGTTCTACTCCAGGAGCACTCTCTGCTACAGACAGTGACACTGGTTATCGTAAGCAACCAACAAGTTGTGTTAGCAGTGCAGGGTTGCATTTATCTCTCCGTGAACCCCCCAGCCCAGGCAGTGGCGTGCGGCTTCCCAAGGGAGAACAGCACGGCACGGCGTGGCACAGCACGGCATGGCATGGCATGGCATGGCTCCACAGCTGTGGTAAACAACCAATTCCAGAGAAAGGGACTCCACACTTCAGATCCTATCAGGAGTCAATTGAACATGGCTCATTAGAAAGGAATTACGCCCTGATCTCTCTTCCTGTGATAAATAATGTTTGTGGTGATAAATATTCAACATAGGCACCAAAGCAACAAGGCTGGCATTTATCTCTTGGCTTGTTTTCCTCTGTGAAGGGTCAAGGATTGTTAATAAAGGCAGGAGCTGCACTGATAGCACCTCAGAATTAACCCTGGTGATGCCAGGCTGTTCTCTGAGACCTGCAGAAGGGCTTGCAGTGCTCAGCAGGTCAGAGTCCAGCTCTCCCGGGAGCAGTTTTGTATTGGTGAGCAATGCAGATAGGGGAGTGGCACAGGGGTAGGGTTAGGGGCAGGGGGACCATCTGGGAAGCAGAAAGGACAGTGTGAAAAAACAGGCCGGGGAATGAAGGGAGTCACAGCTATGCTGTGTATGGAGATGATAATATTTGGAAGATGGGCTTGAGTGGTCTGGGGGAGCAGATGGTTGAGGGGGGGAGCAGCCCAAGGCAGCTGAAAAGGCTCCGTGCCTTCTGATGTGAAGGATGATGATGGCAGGTGACATAGGGACATAAAGGAGAGAGGAAAATAGCAGTGGTCTCTGCTAGAGGGAGGTGAAATAGCAGGAGGAGGACAGCAGAGGGTAGCAAATGCCTGAATTCCTCTGCTGGCCTTGCAGGGTTGGTGTGAGCCACAGGCACGGTGGGGCGATGCAGCCTGGTACACATTCACAGCGCACATCTGGGCAGATTTTGTTTAAAAATAAAACAGGGAACAAGGCGTTTTGATAAGATGGATGTGTTCTTCCAGCAAAGGCTTGTTTTGAAAGACATTTCCTTTAGAAATTTCCTGCTGCGATACCCCCAGTGACCCCATCACCGCCAGGGAGAAGGCGAGGCAGAATTTGCTTTGATTATAATCAGAGTGGAAGGTTTTGACCAAAAGAAAAGAAACTTCTCTGTGTGGGGATTTCATTTTCCAGGAATGGTAACAATGTCGCATCTTGGTTGCTCTTTGGGCAGATTCTTCTTAACTTTTAAGCTCTGAGCTCTGCCCAGCTCTGCTGTGGTGTCAGGCCTGTGGATTGCCAGGATGGAGAGTCCCTGTTCCCTTCCCTGGGTATCCTCCAAAGGCCACATCTGGTCTCACTGGTTCAGAGGGGAAGCAGGTTTCCTTCATGCTTACAGACACTGCCAGCCAAGTACAAATCAAAAGCACAGCAGCACTTTGCACACTGGAGGACCTAAA